AGGTGGCCACGGCCCTGGCTAACACTGCTTACAGCTGGCTTGTGATCGGCGACTTCAATGTTGAGGTTGAGGAGGAGCCCATGGCTATGCGGGCTTCTTCGTTGCTGGCAGGCCGTTTCTTGGACGATGATTTTCTTCGGGACGGTGACCTTCCCAAGACTTCCCCCTCTCGGCTTCGCCGCATCGACTATGCCTGGGCCTCTTTGGACGTCTCTGCACTTCAGGTCAAGGCATTCGACACTGTTGCTGACCACCTCGGGGTCGCCTACGACTTTGACTTCACGGTCCCCTCGGCTGCTTGTGGCCCTCGTCGGCTTCCTCTTCGGTCCGAGGGTGATGTTTCCTGCGAGGACTGGGATGTGGTTTGGCAGCCACATGCTAAGGACTTTGACCGTGCTCTTGAGTGTGGCGATGCTTCGGCTGCTTGGGCTTTGTTGTCTGGTGCTGCAGAGGCTGCCTTGGTGTCGGGCGATCCTGGTGATGGTACTCGTGGCCGTGGCCTGCACGGTGTGGTGCCGCGACATGACCATTGGAAACCTCGTGTGCCGAGGGACCTGCACAAGGCCTCGGCTCCTCAGGAGTCGATCTTGCTTTGTCGCCTCCGGCGGCTTCATCGGCGCATGGCTCATCTGCTGCGCGTTCCACATGATGTTGCTCTTCGAGGTCATGTGGTCGAGGACTTGTCGAGGCTTGGTTCTACGTTTCCTGACCTCCTTCAGCACGTGGCGTCGCCTTCTCGCTCTACGGTGTCGTTGGTGTCTGACCTCATTCAGGCGGCGGAGGCCGAGGAGAAGCAGATCCACATCGCCAGTTGGCGGCGTCGGCTCGATGGTGATCTTCGTGAACAGCGGCATTGGATCAGGCGGCGCACGGCGATTGAGGTTGAGCTCCAGTCGCCGAGCTTTCCTGTTGACAGGCTCACTCCCCGGGTGACTGCGCATCCTGTCCGGGTGTTGGAGCAAGCTGCTAAGGATTGGCTGCCACGCTGGACGAAGCGAGACTCGTGTGATCCGGATGCCATTCGGCATGTGCTGCAGAGTCTGCCTGAGCGTCCTCAGTGCCAGGTTCGTTTTGTGTTTGAGGGCCACCGTCTTCGTGAAGTTGCTCGGGGCATGCTTGGCAAATCGCCCGGTCCTGACGATTGGCGCGCTGAGGCATGGTTGCTCTTGCCGATGTCCTTCTGGGATCTGCTCGCGCGCCTCTGGCAGCACATCATCGATACTGGTGACCTTCCGTCGGTCTGGCGGCGGGCACGCGTGGCTCTGCTGGAGAAGCCTCAGGGGGGTCATCGACCTCTTAGTTTGCTTGCCATCGGCTGGCGCATCGGCGCGAAGGTGCTCCTCGGCCAGCTCCATGAATGGATGGATGGCTTCCTTGATCATCGGCTTCTTGGTGGAGTCCATGGTCGTGGTGTCAAGGATGCCTTGGCTCAGATTTTGGGCGCTGCTCGGCGAGGTGACATGGTGGTGGCTCAAGACCTCGAGAAGTTCTTCGACTCCATCGGGGCTGAGCCGTTGGATCTTGCGTTGCATCACCTCGGTGCACCGGTGGAGCTGCCGTCTGGTCTCCTCGTTCTATGCTGTTCATGGCCGGCTCTTCTCCTTCATGGGCCAGCTGGATCGTGAGTGGCATGCGACCTCGCGTGGCATCTGCCAAGGGTGCCCGCTCAGTCCGATGTTGGCGGCGGTGACGTTGGCTGGCTGGGTGGCTCATGTTGCTCAGTCTGGGGCCTCTGCCATTTCGTATGTCGATGATCGCTACTTTTTCAGCCCTTGCAGTGCTGCTCTTCGGGATGCGAAGCGCCGCAGTGATGAGTTTGATGAGGCTTTTGGGTTTCAGTGCGATTCTGCAAAGTGCCAGGTCACAACAAAGACTGGAGTCCAGCTGGGGCCGATCCTGGCGAGCATGTGGGACTACGACCTTCGGTCCACGCTCAAGGTCCTGGGTGTCGTCATTGACTTTGACCTGCACGGCTTGTCCTCCCTCGCTAAGTTCGAGCTGGCGACTGTACGGAGGAGGCTTCGGTTGATCAAGGTTGCGGCCAAGTTCTGGGTCCATCGCTTGATCCTCATCCAGCAGCTGGTGACTCCGCTCTACACATGGGCGGGTGCCTTTGCTTCGGTGACTGCTGAGCAGGCGGCTCTCGTTCGTGCTGATGTGCTCCATGTGGTAGGTCATGGTTTTCCTGCTGAAGCTGCTCGGCCCATCTTGCTCGAGGTCATGGGCTGGCAACGAGATCCCGTTTTCATGCGGCGCTGGAGCATCTTCCGCGATTTGCTGCGGTACGCTGGCGAGCTGCGTCCTTGGCAGGAGACCGCTCCTTTGGACACCGCCTGCCTGCCTTGGCCGCGGTTGCTGCCTTTGGCGGGGTTGGTCTTGGCGGAGCTTGGCTGGTGGTGTGCCCCTTCTGGGCGCATGCTCTTTCGACGTGACCTCCGAGGTGTTCTTCGCTGCTTTCGTGTGGGCTGGGACTCCCCTAAGGTCCTCTTCGAGTGGCTTGCAGACTGGCATCGACGTGCTGCTCTTCGTGCTTGTGGGCGAGTGGCTGTGTCTTTGCACCGTTCTGGACAAGGCTTGGCTCAGGGCTTCGCTCTTCCTGGAGTTCCCTCGCAGGCGCTGTGTGTGTTCGCTGGACACGCCAAGGCCTTTGCTACTGGTGACTACTTTGCTCGGCTTTGTGCTTTAGCCTCTGGTTGCTCGGGGTGGCATCGATGTGCCAAGTACCACCTGGAGGGCCCTGCTCTCTGCCACTGTGGGCTTCAGGACCCCAGCCGAGCTCACTTGGTTTGGTCGTGCCCTTCTCGCCGTCACCTTCGACCCGCACAGGTGCCGGTGAACAGGGCTGAGGAGAGACTCTTTGCTCGTGTGGTTCAGGAGTGGCCTGCTGCTCCTGTGGTTCTCGACGAGGCCGACTTCATCGAGGACCTTGCTCAGGACCTTCGAGGTGCTCTTGCTGCTCGTGGCTCGGTTCTCGTCGCTACGGACGGCTCTGAGGTCACTGCTGTTGCTGCCTGTGCGATTGCTATCGCTGGCTCAGGCACCCACTCGTTGGGTGTCACGGGCGAGGACCAGACTGCTTTCCAGGCCGAGGTCACCGGTTTGGTTCTGCTTCTGAAAGCTTTGTTGCTGTGCGACGCCATCGGCCGGGTCGTGATCGTCGTCGACTGCTTGAGCGCTTTGGACGTGGCCTCTGGTGGAGGGGTCCTTCGTCTTTGCAGTGACTTCATGACTTCCGCTGCTGCCCAACTGAAGTCACGGGGCGTCCAGCTGCTTTTCTGCTGGATTCCTTCTCACAACAAGCCGGTGCCTGGAGGATGGCGGCCTCCGGATGGATTCACTGAAGCCCAACTTCGATCCATCAATGCCGTCGCTGACCGTGCTGCTCGGCTGAAAGCGGCTACAAGAGGCCATGGATCGCTGCGCCAGCAATGCCACCTGGATCGCGGCGCCGCTGCTCGCTGGGAAGCTGAGGTGTTGGCCGCTGCCACGGCAGTTGCCAAGGACTTCGACACCCACGGCTAGTGTGCTTCTGCGCGGCTAGGAGGACGTGCACCTCTTCGTGTACGGCATCCTGCTGGTCGTGACAATAAGATAAATTACAGCATAGGAGCCGGCTTGAGCCTGGAGCCGTTGCCGTTTCCCTCAACCAAGATTTGAAAACAGCGCCTCACGATCTCAAACCAGGCAGGCCGGCAAGCGAGGCCGTAGCCTGCCACCAAGCAAGGACACTGGACAAGAGCCATTTGCCGAAGATTGCAAGAGTGACCTCGTCGATGAACCTTCAACGAGCTCCAGTACGTCCCAAACCCGTAGAAGCGCTCCGAACGTGATGGGACCACGACGCATTCTCACGATCATCAAGTCCAGGCTGCTGTAGTACTGTGGTACTGTAGTACTGTAGTACTGTCGTAATTGTAGTACAGTAGTAGAACAGGAGGGTTTAAGGGTACCCAGGGCTGTTTAGAGCGGTTTAGGTGGGTTTGTTTGCGGACCATGTTTTTTTTGAAGGAGGGGGTTGGGTGGTTCTATGAAGGCATCCAGTCGGGTTTCGAAGGGTTTAAAGTTTAGGAAGGTTTGGTTAGAGCTCCAAGATGTTGTGGATGGACCGTGGTTGCAGCCGAGGATGCCTGGAGCTGTTTAGGGAGGTGTAAGCTAGGTGGGCTTGCTTTAGGACAGTTCAGGAGGGTCTAGGGCAGTTGTTATGTTTAGGGTTTAGGGCAGGCTTTTTAGGCGGCGGGGTTGGGTGTTGTTACTAATGCATTCGGTTGGGTTTGCAAGGGTTTAGGACGGAGATGGTGTGATGAACAGTAGATGCAGTTGAGGGTACCTAGATCTGTTTAGGGAGGTTTGGGTGGGCTTGCTCTAGGTAGCAATCCATTCCGACATATTTCGACCAAATCCCGAGGCTGGAGCATAGTATAGCGCGTTACATGGGACGCCCAAGACATGCCCGGGTCCTGAATTAGCTTAGCCTCCCGGCCGAGGATGTGAAAGAGGATGAACTGGTGAAGCACAGTGCCACGTCATGCCAAGCAGTTGCGCACACCTAGTACACTCGTGAACCGTGCGGGTATGTGCGGGTGTCGATATGTACACACGTATGTACACGCTTGTGTATCTGTGCAACTATCTGCAGATTCAGATGCGAACGTGTACTTAGGTGTAAACGTCTACAAGCTTGAAGCCGATGTGTGCATACATGTATGCAGACAAAGACCTGTGTAGGTATGATTGTCTATGTGTTTGTAATAGGGTACTACCAACGAACGTGTGCAAAGGCCGGCATGAGTGCGCACTACAGGTACGTGTGCTCCTACCGTGTATCTACACATGTCCAGACTGAAAGGTCGTTGGACGGATCGGCAGAAAGCACGGCTTCGTCGTGTAGCAGTGTAGCATCAAAACGAAGCTCGCGCTCGAGAATAGACGCAGATCCCTGAATCCGCAAACTCCAATATTCCCCAGAACTCGTCGAAAGCTGTGAACTGCAAGACCCGAAGGCCGCGTTGGCATCCTCCGATCAAACTCTCCGTCGCCTGTCTGCTGAGACAGCCGAGCGCAGGGAGGTCTTTTCGGGGGCCGCAGGGCTGTGAGGGTGAGGGCTTCAGGCAGTGATCAGTGCACGAAAAATGCAAGTCGCGCGAAAGGAAGCAGGAATCACAGTGCTAGATGGGTCACGCAGGGCTGCCAGTCAAGGATGGTTTACAGGCACAATTGTCCGGCGCTGGCTTTTGTATGTCTCGATTGTATTGCGACTGCAACCTGGGTCTAGAGCCGAGAACTGATTTTGTGAACCCACCTTTGCCGATTTCGGGACACGGAAGTATGGATGTCTGTCCATTCAGGGCTTGGAATACGCTCAAGCAACGGAGGAGCTGCAGGCAGAGATCGCCCAGCTGCGGTGCAAGCTTGTGGAGTCAACGGAGTCCGGCAGCATTCTGAGGTGCTATGGTCGCGTGTGGGTTGTGAAGGCTGTCGTGTCCACTGCTCTGTTTTCCTGGGGTCGTTGACTTCAATGTATTCTGTAGACCCCAAGCCTCTGGAACCTGAGCCATAACAAGACTACGCCTTGATCATCATTGTTAAACTCATTGTTATCATTATCATTATCATTAACATTATTTGAATTAGAAATATCAATATTAATCATTGGTTTGTGACATCTATATGAGTCTTCTCAGGGAGCAAACTGCCCCGGAGCCATCGACGGCCAGCGCCAGACGTGCAGAAGAGGACCTTCTTGAGGTTGTGGAGCAAAAGAGCACCAAGGAGGCGCCCGCCCAGCTGTTACTTTCGTCTGGTGAATTTGTTAAAGTTGGGGCGTCGAGGATGCCTTTCCGACCAGCAGGACCTGAGAGGATCTCGGGCTTTTATACCTTTGTGAGAGAGGGTACAAGCAGTCCTGTCGTAGGTTTGGACTTAAAGCTGCCATGCGGACGCCCGTAAAGTATAGGACATCTTTGCGCTCTTTTCCTTCCCTCCCTCCCTCTTTTGAGAGCATGACATCAACCGTGATCTGCCGTCCAGATGCATGTATCAAAAGCAGAAACCGTTCACTCACAACTCGTCGAGAGCTCCTGGAGTTTGTGCCTGTCAGGCCCTAGCTCTGAATGTGCAGTCGCTTCAGGCGGAGCTGCAGGCAGGGGAGCATGGTCGCCCCGCTTCACTGTCGTAGGCTTCTAGTGCCCCAACTTGTCTGATTTGCAGGATCATGTGACTGAACGTTTGGTTCGGTGAATTCTATCACAGATGACAGTAGCAAGCTTCAGCTCAACAGCACTGAAATTCAAGCCCTGAGACCAGAGCAGTGAGGTGCAGGCGCGGAAGGACGAGGAGACCCAGGAGGCGGACATGAAACTTTGTCACTACTAAATTTGATTTAGAATTGGATGGTATACCTGTAGTAAAGGGCTCAAAGTCCAGGATCCTAGTATCTTTCCTCGGCGTTCACCAACAATCGGCACTGTGAGATGTCCCAGGCCTCTGCCCCGAGACCCGAAAATTTCTTTCTTCTTTCTTCTGCATCCCTCTGAAGTGCATGCTCCATGGACGGGCGGCGGGACGTCTGCAAGAGACCCCTACTGCACATCAAAAGTCGGAGCCGCGACCCCGCATCATCAGGATTCACGGGCATTGCCCCACAGCTGTGAAAGCCGCCGTTGAATCAAGCCGTCTGCCATGCAGGTCTCGAGATTGGAAGAAGCGGCCGCGCACTTGACCCTCGTCCCTTCGTTGTGTGTAATGGGGCTCGGGCCAAACACTCTCCAGGACTCTGCAGGGTGTTACAGGTGCTGATTAGCAATTTGGCTGCGCTTCTTCAATTTGCCTGTGATGTCATCCTCCAACTGCCCTTGCTTCCCGAACCAAGGCACTATACCACTGTACTGTAGCCCGCCAAGGACTGACGAGTGTGACGCGCTCTGGCGCAGCGTGACCATGGAGAAGAGGCGCTCAGCTGAGGCGGCGGCCCAAAGTTGCGAGGCCCGAAACGTCTGGTGTTTGTCACGTAAACACAAGCAACCAGTGGGAAGTAGGGCACTAGCAGCCTTGAGGGGCGAAGGGAACGGAGGAGTTAAGGGTTTGAAGGATTGAGGCTGTCGGTTGCAGGAAAGACCTTGCTCAATGCGACAAGTAACATGTAGACCGATAGGCTATTTCATATCTTGTGTTTTCATGTATCAAATTTTGAAGCTTTCTTCTACATGGCTTTATGCCATGTCCTGTACGACATATTTGCAGTGTGCACATATGTATATATGTATGATCTGTAACATTCTAGAACATTGCATGATAATATGTAATGTTTGGTTGTAATATGCACTGTTGTTTGAAGCTTTATACATGCTGTGCTCTTACTGTCGGCTCTCAAGAATATCAGGATCGGGGGACGGTGTGGTAACGGAGTATGTTATACCACCTGGACATTATACTGTCTGCCTTAATTCTAATGCTACGCAGCCCGCCTCGGCCGCCGGCTGCAGTAGGGCCAGCAGGGGCGCAGAGCAGGGGCCAAACTGCGAAGGGCCTCTGAAAGCAGGTGTAATTTAGTTGCAGGGTCAGGGCTACTTGGAGAAGTGTGGCAAGTGTAGAGCAAACACATGCAGCAAAACCCAAGTGCGCAGAAGGGTTGCAGGAATGAGATACAGAAGCAAGGCCAGTGCTTGGTCCTGGTGATGCATGATAAGTCGACGAGTCGTGTGGTCTGGCCGACGACGTGCCTTGGAGCCGGCTCGGTGGGGGGCAGGCGGAAAGAGGAGAAAAGGTTGAAAAACACGCGAGGGCAGGACAAGACGGAAGGGTGGACTGGCCGGCCGGAGGAGGAAGGGGGGGCCAGCAAGAGGGGGAAGGGGGGAAGGAAGGAAAACAAGCCAAAAGAGGTGCAAACAAGATGGGAAAAGGGGCCGGGGGGGCGGGGAGGGAGGAGGGCTGGGGGGGGGGGCGAGGGGCAACAACACAGCAAAACGAGAGCTTCAACGAGGAAGCAGGAAAGAAGCCAAAAACGAAACATAAGAAGAAAATACAGTGGAGCCGG